TATTTTATTCATTTAACATATTTAAATGAGAAGAGAGGGGGTGATGTGAGAATTGGCAGAAACTTTTACATTTACCTTAAAAAAATATGGATAGGGATACATTTATTTTTTTTTTAAAAGATAAATTGTCTTTTTAAATCATAAATCAATACAAATCATTCATTTTTTAATGTTTTCCCTTAAAAAATACTAACGTGACAAATAAAATTTTGACGTTTTTCATTGAAAAATGGGTGATTTATATTAATTTATGATTTAAAAGGTAATTTATCATTTTTTTTTTAAGGATAAATATATCCTATCAATACATTTTTAAGGTAGATTAGGAGGTTTTGCCGTGAGAATTTCCTTCTTTTCCTCTGTTTTCTCACTGTTAACTGTTCAGGGACTAAAATTACATAGTAAGATAAAGGTAGGGAGCTAAAATCTCAAAGCTAATAAGTATAAGGGCTTTGCAAGGGGTTATTCCCGCCCGTCAATCAAGGATGGGACTGTAACTTCACCATCTTCACGCTCCAAATTGTTTTAAATTTAATTTTATCCGTCCTAAGGTTCTGTTTGTCCATGCGTCCAAACAACCTCCACCTTTTCTTCTCTCTCCTTCCCTCCTGCTCACTCGTCACACGCGTGCCAACACTTCCGACGACAAAGCAGACCCGCCGGACTCACCCGACTCTCTTCTCGGAGCTCCATTTCTCTCGGATTACTGTGGCTGAACTGTTGAAAATGGTGAAGTCGGCTACGAGCACGCACCTGCACCAGGAAGAAGAAGACGATGATGTTTACGACGACCTCGTCGCTCGGAACGATACAGTTTCCTACAACAAAGGTATTGGAGGAATTTTTTTTTTCTGACTTGTTTTTTGGGTATTTTTGTTCAAAGTTTTGGAGGGTAATTGCAGGGGAAGCTGTGAAGGTGGAAGGGAAGGGTAGTGAGAAGGTGAACACGAATCGGTCGAAGCATTCGGAGACGGAGCAGCGGAGGAGGAGCAAGATTAACGAGAGGTAAGCTGGGTGAACCACCATCTTCCCTTTGTAATTTGAAGTTTTTATTATTGGGTTTTACTTTGTTTTGTTATTTGCTTTGTGCTTTGGAAGATATTGAGTATAATGACTCTTCATGTCGTGATTTTCTGCGTAATTTCACGGGTTTTGTTTGGAGTTTCTTTGCAGAGTTAATGCCTGTGACGAAAATTAGATAAGAATAGTGATGGATTATATAATTACTAAGAAAGTGCGCTGCTTTCTTTCCTGATGAAAACAAAAGGTAGAGAAGAAGGGCAGGTTGCTTGTATTTCTGTGTTATAATTTATGCTTCAATGTTTGTGCGGACTGGTGGTTTTAGAATTTTAGTTTGTGCATGTGGGGGTTTTCCACTTTCATTGTTAAAAATGGGACACGTTGTCATTTTACTCTGGGAAGCTCTGGACCATCAACAAAAATGGATGCTGAAGTGCTTATGTAGCCTTTGTTCCTTTTTCTTTATAAAATAAATAAGAAAAGAAATTATAGCTGTGTTCAGCTAGTCATAACAAAAGCTTGAAATTTCTTTATTGAATTTCAAACCCAACTACTTTCCATAGTGGCTGAATTTTTCCAAGGGTACTTTTTCATTTGATTCGTTTTAGTAGTTGGATTCTACTTTGTTGAGCTACCAAATGGAAACATCATGGATTGAGGGGATCATGGCCATTTTCTGGTTAATTCAATTACCAACTACCAAGACTTTGAATTTCCATAAGCATTATGGAATTTAAATCCTTTGTGGCTGAAACATTGTGCCCTAACTATTCTAATTATTATTCATTATAATTAGTTTCTATGTCCATGGACTGTAGTTGCTATGTTATTTTTACACAAGTTATTATGTGGCAGATTCCAAGTTTTGAGAGATCTCATTCCTCAGAATGACCAAAAGAGAGATAAGGCTTCTTTCCTGTTAGAGGTAATTTCTTAATTAAGCTCTTTTTGTATGGCATGTAAATGTACATATGTATTCTCTTGTGGACAAGCGCATCTTTTTAGTAGAATATTTGTTCTTTGTGGAAATGACTGATGAGTTTTTATACTTGTGTGCAGGTTATAGAGTACATTCAGTTTTTACAGGAAAAGTTACAGATGTATGAGGGTTCAAATCATGGTTGGGGAGAGGAGACTACAAAGTTGATTCCATGGGTAATCTTCTGTGCTTGATGTGTGGGCATCTTATGAATGTGTGTGTGTTTGGAAGTTTTTTTGCATCAAATTTACCTCAGCCTGTGTTAGGTGTTAACACGTGAGCTTGATATGAAGTTATTAGTAGAAGTTAAAATCCTCAATGGCATCAGTTGTGAAAACTTAGTGAAACTCTGATACAGGAGTTTTCTGGTCTTAGTTTTGGTGATATCTGTTGGCTTTTGTCCAACATGTATTGTAGAGTCATGTCCAATGGAAGAGAGGAACAAAAACCTTGTTCAGTGGAAATTCTTAATTGATATTCTCAACAGCCATGTTATTTCATACTCATGGAAACAGGAGATTTGATGATTTATGTAGTTTAACAGTTTTCCTTGTGCTTGTTCCATTTTTTTAATCTTCTAGTCTGCACATGAATTGGGAACACATGCTTCTTGATAGGAGGGACACCTCCTCCCCCAAGTTAATGGGCTGTGTATGTGCTTAACTATTAAGAAATTTGTATTTTCTCGAAATTTCAATTTTTCTTGGATATCATGCTCTATCTTTTTACAATTCCAATTGCTTTCAATTCTTTTCATTCTTCATAAAATAATAATATGCGACACCTTTAGGTCATGTCTAGGATGAGAATATAGATATGGCAAAAGCATGGATAATGATTCTCTTTGTCTAAAGGTTTTATCACAATGAATCACTATTTCAAGCTTTCAGTTGAAAGTGTGATGTTGGTCTGAAAGGAAATTTGCTCCTTGTCTGTTTGGAACAGAGGAATCATCATGGGCCTGCAGAAGCTCTTATGGATCATTCTCACATGATGAAGAACGGATCTGGGTGTGAGAGCAATGTTGTTGCCCCAGCAATGCTCACAAATCCACAGAATTCAATTGAGCTTGACTTAGGTACAGCTGCAGCCTACAAAGCACTGGTTCATCCTGCTGGTGCTGCTCCTTCGGTGGTTCCATTTAACATGCAAACCCAGTCAAACTCGTATACTAATCATGGGACATGTAGCTTCCTTTCCCAACCTCTGCATAATTCTACTTCTGATGCTGAGAACATGGCTTACCAACCTCAATTCCAGTCATGGCAAGGTGGAGAGTATGAAACTGAGAATGCTGTTTCTGATAATGCACTGAATGAACAGGAGGACTTGACAATCAAAGGTGAATCAATTAGCTTATCAAGTGTGTACTCGCAAGGGTAAGCACCTGCAAAATTTGTATGAAGTTCTGTTGCATTGATTGTCTGACGAAACTGTTTACATATATTTAGTTTTGGTATTAAATTTTTTATGCCGTTATTTACTTGAAGGCTTTGTGTTCAACAGGATATTGTGTACTCTGACCCAAGCGTTGCGATCTTCATGTGTGGATTTGTCACAGACTAGCATCTCTGTACAAATTGATGTTGGCAAACGAGTAAATGGTGGAGGGATGTGTGTTGAGGGGACGTCTGAAGCTTCTAGTTCTAAGGTTTGTGCACCTTGAGTCTTCACCAAATATTAAGATTTTCAAAATCCTTTTCCATGACAACTATCGCTGAGATATTGTACCTCTGTGGTGCCTGCATGTTCAATTGCTTCTGTCTAATTTTTGCAAGCAATGGAAGCTAAAGTTGCAACATTTTGCTTCCAGCCATATCCTTACATTTCTTATTTTATTGTTCATTCAGGAAAAAGAGACGCAGTATCCAAGCAGCGATCAAGTGATAGCGCCGACTGGGGTTCAGAACTGCCAAGAAGATACAGATCAGGCTTATAAAAGGCTGAGAACAGGAATAAGCTAGTGTATCATTCTAGTCACTTTCTTCTGCGTATCTTATTCCTTTGCTCCTTTTTAGTGGTTGGAGTGCTCATTTTTGCAATGCCATGATCCGCCTAATTATTAGGCCTAGACAAATTGTAAATTTTTTATGCTTCTTGGTTTGCCAGGATGCATCAATTCTCTTGGAAGGAAACTTGTTTTATATTCTTCAGATGGAGGCGTCCATGCATATAATGAGAAGCTGCTTCCTTCTTTATTTATTTATTTTTCTGAAATATATTTCAGCAGTGTCAAGTTTCTATTTGAACCTCTCTGCAAGTTCTTGTGATCATTGTTTCTTTTATCACTGACTCTTCAAACCTTCTCGTGCAACATGTAACATTTTTTTTTTTTTTTCAATTGATTGAATCAGTAGTTAGTATTTTGCAATTACAAGGAACAATTCCTCTGAATCCTGCAGAATTAGTTCCTCGCATCTCTGCCATTGTTTCTGTTAAGATATGTGAGGAAACTGCTTTGTCCATCATCAAAGTTTGCACCCTTCTATTGGATGTTTATGTCAGGTACTGATGGTAAATCTTATTTTCTTTGTATTTATTTCATGTTATTTTGGTCATTTGTATTCATCATTTGATTTGATTCAAATATTTGTAGGGAGTCTGTGTCCTAACTTGTTTGGCCATGAGCATGATAATGAAAGAGCTTGAAAAATGAGATTCTTTGCAGGACCATCTGACTAATTTCTTTTGTACTGTAGATAATAGTTCAGCAGTTTCAAGATAATGATCGTTGCATAATGCTTTCCTCTATCATCAGTACCTCATCTTTGCATCATCATCATTTAAGCTTGAAAAATAACCAAGACTGTGGCTTAAAAAAAGGATTGCGAAAAATCAAGACGATTTAATAATTAAAATATTAAATTTTTTTATAAAATTATTTAAAT